CCTGTTGTCTGAGGATCTATGAAGAAAAGCTCATGGTGAGTCCACTGTGTCTCTCAGTTATCAGAGATTTTCTCATTCAGCTCATGATTTCATATGAAGCTTTTAGCTGAAGTCACTGGTGTGACCGACTTTATTCTGAGGTAACTGTGAAAAAATAGAACACAAATGGATTAAATTCCATATTTTAGTGGATATTCCATGATTGACAACATGTGGTTTGATGTTCTGTAGCAGCCGTTTTGTAAAATGCATTGTTCATTAAAATGTCTCTGGTGTTCCTTTATTATGTGTAACACCAATGAGGATCAGTAACACCAGTGACTCCTATGGAGAGATAGAAAAGTGGACGTTTTTGTAGAATGACCCACCTTTTGTTAGTCAGTCTTTCCAGAAAGCACTGTTCACCCTCCTGAAGCGAATGGAGGCCCTCAGCCTTGGATGTGATTGAAAGCGTCAGCTGGATGTCACTGGAGGCTTTAAGTGGACTGAATTGAATCCAACCATGGATTTAATTCTCATTAGCACTCTTTTTACATACCCTCTGATAAGCTTCTAGCATGAGTCATATTTTATTGATCTGAATTCGCTCTAATGACTGTGCTCACTTCTTTTTTTGGTATCCTCACTCTTAATTGCAATTAACTCAGTGTTATTGTTTCAGCCACTGGTGGATGAATCTCCCTTTGAGTCTCGCTCCTGCAAGGTTTCGTTCTCATTCCTTTAGCGTTATTTTTCTTGCCCCTGTTGTACTTGGCTTGCTCAAAAGGGACTTGCACCTAGACCTGAACGATTTGGGGAAAATATCTAATTGCGATTTTTCCTACTAACATTGTAGCTACAATTTAAATTCCATTTTTTTTTCAATAAATTAAGATTCAGGCTTGGTTTATTTTGGCCAAGAAGTTCAGAATATCCACCTTTCCTGGCTTGAGGCTCGACCCGTGAACACAGTGTGCCAAACCGTTAGTAAGTTGTGGTTGTGATGTCACAACACGTGGAGGTTTGGTTGCCTCTGATTGGTCTAACTCAACTACAGGCATTTCCCAAACTCTTATTAGGTTCAGTTTCCCCCTTTTAAAACTTAAACCAACATTTCTGCTAATGTACACACTTACAAAAGATGGTTCTTCAAGGGTTCTTTAGTAAAGATAATGGTTCTATATAGAACGGTAGACACTCATTGACTCACTTGCATGCTTAAAAAGTTCTTTGAATGATGAAATTGTTCGTCAAATTTATGGACAGTGTGTTGTATACGGTTCTATATAGCACATTTGTGAAAAGGGTTCTATATAGCATTAAAATGTTCTATTGTTACAAGCTTGACATTGTAACAATAGCAGAACCCTTTTTGGTGCTGTATAGAACCATATACAACAATTTTCCTTCCATCTGAAGAACGATTTCACCATGTGAAGAACCATTTAAGCACGCAAACAGGTCTTTGAGTGTTCATGGTTCTATATAAAATGATCGTCTTTGCTGAAAAACCATCTTTAACATAAAGAACTACCTTTTTTAAGAGTGTACGCTATAATAGAAAAAATAAAAAATTGCAGCTATTGCGATTCGAAAATTGCACCTTAAATTGCAAGTTCGAGATAAAACGATTAATCTTTCAGCTCTATTTGCACCTTGATTTTTGTGAACCTGTTCTGTGACAGCACACATTGTAAACTGAATTGAATTGAAATGCTCAACCAGTGTGAATCACAAAGGTGGTTATGCAATATTTGCTACGACATATAAGCCCCAGATTGGACATATAAGCCCCAGATTGGACATAGTCTGGTAGACACAGCATTGTCAGTGCTAGAAGACTGGACTTTCTGAAGATTATGTGGGTAGGTTGTAAACAAGAGCTAATAAAACTTTTAAAAAAGTTAAACAGCATTAAAAAAGCCACTGAATTCATGCATACTCAGTTCTGCTACTCTGTGTTGTAAGAATGTCTTACAGGTCTGATACAGCTTGTTTTCATTGGACTGTTCCTCCTCTTTTCGCCTCTCGTCACCTAAATCAGTGGTCACTCATCGTCTGTGCGCTTTTCTAAACTCGAGCTGACGTTTAGTTGACATGATTTCACAGACACCAAGCAAAACACCGCCACAGATCTCCATTCTTTTCAGGCTGGAGTCTACACAAAATCATTTTGACCACAAATCAGATACTTGTAACAGGTTCTTACCACACAGATCTGAGGCCTTCCCACTAAAAGTTTAAATCCTAGAGGAAAATCGGTTGTCTGTGAATTGAATTCCTGTGCAGTGCATCACTGTATGTGTAGTTGGTGTGAGAAATAAAGGTGTTTAGTCTTTGTGATCACTGCTGTCTAATTGTGGTGATAGCAGCACCTCTGTTCCTCCATCTCCTGTAGGAATTCATATTTAGGAACAAAAAAAGGGGGGCATATCATTTCACAGTGGCGAAGATAACGCCTGTACCACTCTGCTCGGTTCCCATTAGAGAGTGTCACATTTCTTTAATCTGTATCTGCATCAGGTTAAACTTGAATGAAACATAGAACGCGGTCGTTTAGGGGCTGGTGGCGATTGTGCGAACCTGACTGAGCCGGGGACAGTTCGAGCAAACGTTCACGCGCTGATCCTTACTGGTAGGCTTTGCTCAGGGGTCGGAACCGAAATATTAAGAAGAGCCATTTTGTCCTTTCAACAAAAATTAAACCACCTTGGGAGCCACAACATGTCCGTTTTATCATCTTGGCTGTAAATATGTCTCAATAGTATAGACTGAAAATATAATATAAACGGAAACACAGACTGACTTTGCTCTGCTTTAACTTCAGCTCAGCTGTAGCTGCTTTTCTCACATCTCAGTCAGGAAACTTTTCCATGAAAGTAGAGTTTCTTGTAAAATGTCTCTCAACATTTAACGTTTTTTGAGGCTGAAGTCGCTTCTCATTCGCCAGCTTCTTGTTAGAATTGTCCCGTTCCACCTTAAATGGTGCCTGAGGTGCCAGAATGTAACTGCTGCGCCATTTAAGGTGGAACGAGACAATTCGAACAAGAAGCTGGCGAATGAGAAGCGACTTCACGACTTGTTTGGCAGTTTCTCATTGGAGATTAAACGTTTCAGGAAACCAGCTGGAGTGATTATAAAAGTCCATTCGTCTCCAAAGTTCATTTTAAATCTTTCTCTTTGCTGTTTTGTTAGCTACGAGCTAGGCGAGACTGTCTGTGTCGCTGTGTGACCAGCAGTCTGCGCTGATCTTCAGGGTTAAAGGGCGAATTAGCAGTTCTGCATTAACTCCAGCGTTTAAGACCTTTTATTGTGAGAACTGTGTTAGAACTGTGTGTTATAACGATCAGAAGAGCTTTATGTTACAGCAGAGGAGGATTATGTTATTTTACCTAAAAATCTAGTGCTGCTGTGGAGCCGCAACAGGGCGTTTAAAGAGCCGGAGAACAATTGTTTGGTTTGTATTCAGTTATTTTTGTTGATTTTTGTTAGGAAAACCTGGAATAATTGACTTTACCTGTGGCTGAAATTATTGCAAAGCTCTCCACATCTCCTAACAACCTTGCACCTTGCAAGATCTGGTAGACCACCAAAACTTTCACCAAAGATGATTATCTCCTATGATAGTCATATTTGTCATAGGAGATATCAATCGATCTGTCAGTCAATCAATCAGTCAACCTTTATTTAAACTCGGAATACATTGAGGGAGACCCTCATTCACAATGTGGTCGAGCAATACGGAAATCAGGGATTGAGAAGTTGGGTAGTAAAAAGAAATCAAATGTTATAATAAAATAATAAAAATCATAATAGTAAAATTTAATAATAAGAAGGTACCAATAAATCGTTAAATCAATAAACCATTAAAATTACAATATAGTAGCTTAACAAGTAACAGATCAGATAAGGATAAAATAAATAAAAATATAAATTAATGAAATAAAAAGAAATCAAAATGTGACAATAAATAAAAAAGAATAAAATCGATAACAAAAAATACTAATAAATTAAATAAAAAAGAATAAAATCAATAACAAAAATACTAATAAATTAAATAAAAAAGAATAGTAAATAAATAAATACTAATAAAATAAATAAAAAGAATAAAATCAATAACAAAAAATATTCATAAATTAAATAAAAAAGAATAAATTAAATAAATAAATACTAATAAAATAAATAAAAATAATAAAATAAATAACAAAAAATACTAATAAAATAAATAAAAATTGAGTGACCCTTATTAGGCCCACAATGGGGAAATTTCACCTCCGCATTTTAACCCATCTGTGCAGTGAAACACCACATACACACTAGTGAAGAGACACACTAGGGGGCAGTGAGCACACTTGCCCGGAGCGGTGGGCAGCCCTATCCACAGCACCCAGAGAGCAGTTGGGGGTTAGGTGTCTTGCTCAAGGGCACCTCAGTCACATACCGTCAGCTCAGGGGTTCGAACCGGCAACCTTCCGGTCAGAAGGCTGGTTCCCCGACCTCCAGCCCACGACTGCCCCCATAAAAAGAATTAATAAAAAGTAAAACAATAGCCAAGACATAGCTAAAACATACCAAAAATCATATTAAAAGTTAAGTAAAATCAGATAAAGCTGTGTCAGGCTGTGTGGAGGTGGTCATGTGACTCCAGAGAGCAAAGTTTTAGTTTCCTGTAATGAATTCCAGCTCGCTGGTTCACTGAGATGACAAAGTAAAGTTTTATGGACTGGTGAGTCTAAATGTGTCATTATTTGGATCGGAGGAGCTGAAAATGCGACCAACTTCTACAACTGAACTTTGCAGCTGTGGAAAATATCCCTGCGGGTTTTTTCTGATGCTGAAAAATAAATAACTTCAACTGTTTTGCGCAACGTCTGACTTTTCCACAGGACTGTATCTGCATCAGAATTGGTTCTACATTATTTAGAACAGTGATACCGAACTTTTGGGCTGTAGTGTGTGGAGATGAAGTGTGTTCGGCAGCCCGGTGAGCTCATTTTCTCTGCTTGCTGATCTTTTCTCAGGAGAAGTCTCTGTTCAGACTGACACAAACACAACCAGCCCGGAGGTGATTTACGATGACGTTCCATCAGAGGATCCGTCTCCAGGAGAAGGTCAGCCGTAACACTGGCATACAGAGGATAGACGTATATTTGTGTGTGTGTGTGTGTGTGTGTAGGTGATCTGTATGTCTGCTGGGATTGGGCCGGTGCCTGGTGATGGTTAACTTAGTTACCGTGGTAACAGCCCCCAGCAACCTTAAAAAGTCATTTATCGCCAATTAAAAAAAAAAATTCTAACTTTTAATAATTTATTTCTTGCAAAGCTTAGCAAAACACCAGTATTCCCACACCTGGACATAGACGAGATCGTTCTAGAAACACGGCTGTTGAGCTTGTTGAGCGAGTTCAGAGGGCGGGGCACTGTGTGCCGTTGCGGCAGACAGATATCATCCCTTTATAAAAAGGTTCCACACATCAGATAAAGCAGCTTCAGTTCTCAGCAATCTGCACTTCTGTCTTACTAGATTTCTAACAACCTCAGAGCCAAATTAAATATTTCACATTATGCTGTAGCCACAGCCTTTACTGACCGGCGCTACACACTTAGAAATGAGGGTTCATTAAGGGTTCTTTAGTAAAGAAAATAGTTCTATAGAACCATGAACACTCAAAGAACCCTTTGCATATTAAAGGGTTCTTTGCATGTGAAATGGTTCTTCAGATTTATGGCAGCTGTGCTGTTTATCACCAAAAAGGGTTCTTCTACTGTTACAAGCTTGAAATCATAACAACTGAAGAACCATTCTTAAAAATGTTCTATATAGAACCATAAACAGCACATTCTCCATCAATCTGAAGAACGCTTTCATGATGAAAGGACACTTTAATCTTTAATCATGCAAAGGGTTCTTTGAGTGTTCCTGGTTCTATTTAGAACTGTTTTCTTTACTAAAGAACCCTTGAAGAACCGTCTTTTTTAGTGTGTACTATTATGTTCTTTTATTTGACTAAGATTAATCACTGTTTGCTTTAGCGTTCAAGTGCGTCAAAGTACAAGGTAAGAAAGAAAATACTTTTATTACGAAAAAATGTGTTTCCAATAGAACAAAGCTGAACGGACAGTAAATAAAATTTGTATAAAATAGCAGTTTTTACAGTCAAGTCAGCTTTACTGTCAATACTACAGTATGTACAGGACATACAGAGTATTGAAACTGCGTTACTCTCAGAACCCATGGTGTAGCAATAACATTAAATCGACAGTAAA